GCGACGGAGGGAAGGGGGAGGTGAGGGAGGGAAGAGGGAGGTGACGGAGGGAAGCGGGAGGTGACGGAGGGAAGCGGGAGAGCGAGGCGGGAGGAGAGGGAGGGAAGCGGGAGAGCGAGGCGGGAGGGGAGAGAGGGAAGCGGGAGGTGTGGGAGTGAAGAGGGAGGCGACGGAGGGAAGCGGGAGGCGAGGGAGTGAAGAGGGAGGTGACGGAGGGAAGCGGGAGCTGACGGAGGGAAGCGGGAGAGCGAGGCGGGAGGAGAGGGAGGGAAGCAGGAGAGCGAGGCGGGAGGAGAGGGAGGGAAGCAGGAGAGCGAGGCGGGAGGAGAGGGAGGGAAGCAGGAGAGCGAGGCGGGAGGAGAGGGAGGGAAGCAGGAGAGCGAGGCGGGAGGAGAGGGAGGGAAGCAGGAGAGCGAGGCGGGAGGAGAGGGAGGGAAGCAGGAGAGCGAGGCGGGAGGAGAGGGAGGGAAGCAGGAGAGCGAGGCGGGAGGAGAGGGAGGGAAGCAGGAGAGCGAGGCGGGAGGAGAGGGAGGGAAGCAGGAGAGCGAGGCGGGAGGAGAGGGAGGGAAGCAGGAGAGCGAGGCGGGAGGAGAGGGAGGGAAGCAGGAGAGCGAGGCGGGAGGAGAGGGAGGGAAGCAGGAGAGCGAGGCGGGAGGAGAGGGAGGGAAGCAGGAGAGCGAGGCGGGAGGAGAGGGAGGGAAGCAGGAGAGCGAGGCGGGAGGAGAGGGAGGGAAGCAGGAGAGCGAGGCGGGAGGAGAGGGAGGGAAGCAGGAGAGCGAGGCGGGAGGAGAGGGAGGGAAGCAGGAGAGCGAGGCGGGAGGAGAGGGAGGGAAGCAGGAGAGCGAGGCGGGAGGAGAGGGAGGGAAGCAGGAGAGCGAGGCGGGAGGAGAGGGAGGGAAGCAGGAGAGCGAGGCGGGAGGAGAGGGAGGGAAGCAGGAGAGCGAGGCGGGAGGAGAGGGAGGGAAGCAGGAGAGCGAGGCGGGAGGAGAGGGAGGGAAGCAGGAGAGCGAGGCGGGAGGAGAGAGAGGGAAGCGGGAGGTGACTGAGGGAAGCGGGAGACGAGAGAGGTGAGAGAGTGGGAGGTGAGAGAGCGAAGCGGGAGGTGAGAGAGGGAAGCGGGAGGTGAGAGACGGAAGCGGGAGGTGAGAGACGGAAGCGGGAGGTGAGGGAAGCGGGAGG